GGACGGACGGACGGACGGACGGACGGACGGACGGACGGACGGACGGACGGACGGACGCACGGACGCACGGACGATCATGCGATTCTACAAGCTGCATCTGACTATGTCAGATGAGCTAAAAACTAATTTGTTGTCATTCACTCATATATTATTATATTACTCGGATATTTTACTGAATAAGGATCTCACCCAGACGTCTGACAGAAGCGCCAGGGATGGTTGGGAACTGAATGACGCAGCCAGCAGGTACTTCTCTGGCAGTTCAATGTTGTCCTCCCGTCCGAAGTCCAGAAACTTCATCAGCGCCCCCTGGCAGGCGTCCGTCTGCGCCGCAGTGACGGCGTCAATCAGGAATGGCCTGCGCGCACGTAAGACGAGAGATTACCAACACAAGAACGTATGTTATTCTCAATGCTCCGTCAAACACTATGGTCACGCGACAACTCTACCGAGCTTAGGCCTAGGAGAGGTTGAATGACCTTGTCGATTGACCTTGGTGTACGACAGGACCAGACATGGTGGGATGGATTTAGACATGGTGAGGCCCTAAGCTATGGGAAGTCCTAGAGCAAACTTGTGTAAATAATGATCTTTTTTAATAATTGGGTCCAACATGTTAATGTCAAGTATTGTTAATTAGGTTAAATCATTACTTAAATATATAAATTACAATAAACCCGTAACAAATGAAAAAAAACCAAGATTTTGAGAGGCCTCTTCAGACTGTCAGACACGAAGCAGTAGCCCGATTAGCTTAATATGCCTAAATGCGGCCCCGGACGCGCATTCTACTAATTCAGAGGTGGCGCCACCGCCGAACGTCGCTCACAGAACGTCGACGAAGTCAGCAGGTCTCTGCGGATCCCTCGCCTTCTCCTCCTCCTGACGCAGCAGCTGCAGGACCCTCTCCTCCGTCGCCTTCTGTCCGCGGAAGAAGCCGAGGAGGGAGACGAACGCCTTCGCGGAGGAGACGGAGGCCGGCTCGGCAAGCTCCCCCCTCGCATCCTCCAGCTTCTGCAGGATCGCTGCCGACTCCTGCGGGGGAAGACAAGAGAACGGTCAGGGAAGACAAGAGGACAGTCGTCGAGCGACGTGCGCATGGCAAATTCGACACTCGCGCACGCCGGCAATTTCATTATGGTGATTTACGCGCTTTGATTATGTTTTTATGTTATGATTTGATCATACGTTTTGCTCATATATAACATACCCATGCACTCAGGCATGCACGCACATATATGATGTAGAAATTGAGAATAGAATTGTTATACATACGGTTTGACGCTAGTATGTCTATCATTATATGTATAAAGTATATATAATGTATATAAAAAGATAAGGATATATTATGTGTAAAAAAATAAGATATTTATATAAACAACATAATATATTACTCGAGGCATGGGCGTACATCGAGGGTTTGTGCGACCGCTGATGACAGAACACACTGGTGTTACGCAGCGCGTGCACGCCTCACCTCTTGGGCTTCCTCGGGCAAGCTAACTGCAGTTCATCTCCCGCGGGAACGTCTGCTAGGTCCGCGCGGACCTGTCTTCGGCGCTCTGGTTCCACTGTCGCGAGCAGTGTACACACACCGCGCAGTTTCAATGCTGCTGCAAGAGTCAATAGTTAAAAACCATTACTACTGTCTTGCTGGTGTGGTGTACGGTTGTTGTTGCTGCTCTGTTGTACTACGGCTGCCTGTTTTATTGTTGTTTCTGTTGTGTTGTTAGTTATTGTTGTTATGTTGCTGCCTTTGCTATGCTGTGTTGCTGGGCTGTTGTTACTGGGCTGCTTGCTACTGCTGTTGCTGCTGCAGGTGCGTACTGCTGTTGCTGTATTGTGCTTGCTGGTGATAAGTGCTACTATATAATACATAACAATAATAATATATAAGTAGTGTGTTAATTTATGAATTACTACTATAATATAATAATAACGATTATCTAAATAATTATCTTGGCACCCACCGCGACGTCAGACCACTGGTGACAATCTCGGCCTGCAAGAACTCCGAGTATGGGTTCGGCGCAAACAAAATGAACGTCCTCGCGACGCGTCTGCAGATGCCATTCTTGCCGACCGTATAGAGGCGCTGGGAGGTCGACGATGACGAACGTAGCAGAGGATCTGTGGCGTGAGTACGAGTTGTAGCGTGGCGCGTGCTAGAATACGAGATGACGAGAAACTGCAGGGTTACTGTGGCGGCACACCTGGCAGCAGACATACAGATCGACTGTGCGTGTGGAATCTGGCAGGCACCGGCTAAGTCGCGCCGCGCTGGCAGCAGACATGGACTTGCGCGTGAGGGAACTGGCAGGGGATCGGGCCGCCTGGCGGCGTATTACTGATCTTGGCGTTGGCAGAACTGGCAGTGGGTAATCGGGCGCCTTGGCAGCATACCTTACGATTGGCGTTGCGAGAATGTCCAGGGTAATCGGGAGCTGCGCAGAGCCGAACTTCGGTTTGTCTCACGGTGAGATTCTCTTACTGATAGTTCGCTCCACTTAATGTTCCGATGACAGTCGACCTTGCGCATTGAACATACTCTCAGCAACACGCCCCACGTGTGTTTCCCAAACAACATGCATGGTTGTTCGCTAAATTGTCTTCTCTCTCTCTCTCTCTCTCTTCTCTATCTCTATATTCCCC